AGTTTTAAAATGAGGGAAAAAGAAAGGAGAAGTTGAGCTAAGATGAAAGCTGTTTTGAAATAAAGATCTTCTATTTTAGTTCCAGAATGACTGATACTGGCAGACTAATCATTGATTCTCATTAGCGTCAGGCTTTCTTGGTGATGCTAACACTGAACAGGAATAGAAAAAGTGACATTTATGTGTGTCTTTTTTGGGGGCTGGGTGTGTAACCTTTGTTCAGCAAAAAACAGACTTCACAATGTGACAAACCCGGCAACACTTTTGTTCACTCTGGATTCAAACTGGAACTCAAGTTACTTATCAAAGCATAAGGAATCCACCATGGAAAGAGCAGAAAATGTATTTTGGTCAGAAGAAATGGCCAAAAAGCACACATGGAAAGATGCTCAACATCACTAATTATCAGAGAAATGCAAATCAAAACCACAATGAGGTCTCACTTCACACTGGTCAGAATGGCCACCATCAAAAAGTCTACAAATAAATACTAGAGATAGTGTGGAGAAAAGGGAGCCCTCCTATATTGTTGGTGGGAATGTAAACTGGTACAGTCGTTGTGGAGAACAGTATGGAGGTTCCTTAAAAAACTAAAAATAGAACTACCATATGGTCCAGCAATCCCACTCCTGGGCATATATCTGGAGAAAACCAAAATCCAAAAGGACAGGTGCACTCTAATGTTCACTGCAGTACTGTTTACAACAGCCAAGACATGGAAGCAACCTAAATATCCATCGACAGAGGAGTGGATAAAGAAAATGTGGTACATACATACAATGGAATATTACTCAGCCATAAAAAAGAATGAAATAATGCCCTTTGCTGCAACATGGATGGACCCAGAGATTATCATACTAAGTGAAGTAAGTCAGACAGAGAAAGACAAAAATATCATGTGATATCACTTACATGTGGAATCTAAAAAAAAAATGGTACAAATGAATGTATTTACAAAACAGAAATAGTCACAGATGTAGAAAACAAACTTATGGTTACTAGGGGGGGTTGGGGGGAGGGATAAATTGGGAGATTAGGATTGATGCATACACACTACTATATGTAAAATAGATAACTAACAAGGACCTACTATATAGCACAGGGAACTCTACTCAATACTCTGTGATGACCTATATGGGAAAAGAATCTAAAAAAGAGTGGATATATGTATAGGTATAACTGATTCACTTTGCTGTACAGCAGAAACTAACACACATTGTAAATCAACTATACTCCAATAAAATTTTTTTAAAAAAGTAATTAGGGAAGGTCTCAAATTATCACAAAAAGAAAGAGAAATTGCCTGAACAGGAGAAAAAATGTCTGTAGGAGACTGAACTTTACATCTGGCAACTGATCAGCACAAATCAACTAAGGTGTGTATGATCAGCAACTGCAAATGCAACACAAAGTCTCCTAGCCAAAGAAGCACGTTACCATGACTGGCGCTGGGGGCAGAGTACTTGGCGCTGGACTTGCGGATGATATTCTCGTGGATCTGGGACCACTCACTCTCGTTGTTGCACCTGCAACAGAAGGACAGGCATTATGATTCTCAACAGTTTTAAACATCTGGTCTGATGTTCAATGTGTAACACTAAGTTTGAAGGGATACTTCAAACTCACTTTCCTAAAGAAATGAACATATATTTTACTAAATTAGACAAGACTCATTTTCTGGTAAGGCACACAGAAGATTCATATTTGAGGAAATAGTAGAAACTCTAAAATGAACCTCTGCAAATATTTTTGAGTGGCAAAATATCCTATTCTCTGAAGTAACACTTTCCCACATGACAAGTTTTTTTCATTTTTAGTTCCTTATACACCCTTAAAACTAGGCGCTAGAGGAAAGCTCCTGATAGAGGAAAAAACAGTTCCTTTCAACAAGTACTGCTGTTTACAAACTTCCATGTCACACTTGCTCTACGCAGTCATTCAACTGTTGCTCTAATGGCCTCAGAGAAAAATCCTGCTAAGCTCAGGGCAATGTTGATATTTGCCTGTGGCTGTATTTCAGCCAGACCACGATAAGAAGAAAAGTTTGGGAGAGTAGTGGGCTTGGTTCACTGTGAAATCCTCTGTAGTCAAGGAGAAGGAGGGCTTAGTAGAGAAGGCTGGATGCCTAAATATGTAAGGATAAAGTTCTTTCCTAGGGACTTCAGGATTGGGAGAAAAGAGAGAATGGAGGAACAACACTGCACCTCTATTAATTTCTGACATTTTTAGAGTCTTCCCCACTAAAGGAAAATTCCAAGAAAGCTGCAGTCATACAACCACTTGGTATGGTTTAGGAACAGAGACTAGGAAGGAATTCCTCATCCTAATGTAGACATCTTGATGAAACAACTGAAATGAGATTAGAATCATCTCTTTAAAATTCCATGTGACACCCAGAGTCTCCACAGCCTCGGCCCCTCCCTTCCCCTGTTGGATAGGGAGAACCCACTGACCCCAGAAAACAGAGTCCATGCACAAAGGAAACCACACAGGATCTTTCCATGGTAACTTAGAAGTGTGTAGTCCAGCCACAGCAAGAGGAAACTCCAGCAAGAGTTATATCAGGTGCCATCCAGCAGTGTGAAGCACAACAGGTTTCTAAATAAAAGAGTTTGTATAGAGACCATTCAGAGATAAAGGAGGTTGGCCACTGGACAAATTTTTCTTAATCAGTGGCTCTTCGGACTCCTTAGTAGAAATAAGCCTCACTTAGAGATGTTACAAAGAATTGTCAAAGATAAGGTTCTCAAAGTCCAGAGCTGTGAGGATAACTTCTGCTTACAGAAATCCTTCCAAGGAAAGGAAGGGGGAGAGTGTTCTTTAAAATGATCACTTGTGATTAGCAACTCAGTTGGAAATCAAAAGTGAGAGGTGCTGGCAGCAGCACGTCTAGCCCTTCCTGTCTGACATGCACACTGTCTCAGCTCTTCCAATCACTCAATACATCAGAGAAGTGCCCAGCTGGTGAGGACTGAGACTTGTCTTGCTGTCAGATTTTTGTCACTTTCTAGGTTTACAAAATCAGTAGTTACATTCTTTAATAGAAATCTGACTATAGTTTGTTATAGTGTATTCCCCCCCACTTCAAAATAAGAGTCTTGACTAATGCACAGTATAATGAATACAGACAATAATATTGTACTATAATGATGCAATGTGATAAATATTGCTTGACTGGCAATCATAATACAATATATAAATATATCAAGGTAACACGCTATACATCTCAAGTATATATATACATATATATATATATATATAAAAATAAAATACATACACAAAGAATCCAAATAAATAAAACCAAAAGGAAAAAAAAAGAGTCTTGAAAATTAACTCCCTCTCTCCAATGGGTGGTATAATTTCAGTATTTCTCCAATAAAACACTCACTGGTTCTTTGGCAGTATAGAACCAGTGAGCTGGTGCTTTATCAACCACATCAACAGTGACAATGTGTATTATTTCACTGACATGTACTTTTCCACCCGACACATACAATTCAGATGCCAGACACCTGATGACTTGTCCCCTGTACTCCTCTCCCTTTGTATGCCCCTTAACTATCATTGGCATTCAGAGATCTGCATTTGAAGCCCATTTCTTTCCTACCATATAAGCTTTCTGGGCAATCTCACCTGCTCCCATGGTTTCAACCACCACCAAAAGCAGATAAGACCCAAAGCAGTGTCTCCAGCCCAGACTCACCCCTAAGTTTCTGACCTGCATGGCCACAAGACAGCTTATCATTTCCTACCCGCCTGTCTGCTCCTAGAAACTCCTTCTGAGTAGAACCCACTAGTTCACTAAACCAGAACTCTTCCAGCTGTCATCACGTCCTGTAGATTTTGTTATCTTAAAATCTGTCACATCTGACCTCTCCTCTTCATGGCCTTGGTTCAGCCATTACCACCTCTCTTCCAAACCAGTGTAATCACCTCTTAACTGGCCTTTCAATTATCTCCCTTTCTAGAATGCCAAGGGAGCTACTCAAATCATCTGAAACTAAATGGATGTGGTATCATTAGCATATTTTAACCAATCACTAGGATATTTCGTAAGGAAAAAATATAAATGTAATAAGCATTTATTAACCAAATGAGTTATGATTATAATGAAGCATGATTATGTTGTATCCAATCAAATTAGTATTTAGAGCATGATTACTGATGTTGATAGTTTGCCCTCAATCATAAGACTCACAAGGGATTGTAATCTAAAACAGGTCTGTGTGCCTCTGTGGCACACCTTCTTCACGGAGGAGGTAACCAGCACAGGCAATGAAGTAGCACTTCAACCACTACATATCCAGGGATTTTACTCAAGGTTTAACACAGAGGGGTGAGAGGTTTTTGGTTTTCTACATGGGATCACTAAGCATTCCAAAGCATCAGAGCAGGTGTGCAGATTCTGCTCAGCAAAGAGTGTTCAGAAAACTGTTCTTATTCACTCATGTACTAGAGCACACTTTACCATTTGCCTCTTCCCTACGACCTCCTTATCTTCTTGATTTCTGTGGGTATTCACCCAACTTTCTTCTCATCTTTCCCCAAGGTGGGCAACCCAAAAAAGTATTCAAGAAGTTTTAAAGAGTTGTTTGTAAGATCTCTAAGTCGGCTTTTTTTAGGATGCCTAATATAGGTAGGTAATGATCAGGATATTCTCCCATATTTTATTTCACTAAGATAGGTATTCTCATGTTCATCTTACAGATGAGGAGAGTGAGGTGAAGCTGTAGTCTAAACACAGGTCTGTCTGGACCCAAAGCAGGGCAGGGGTGAGGGTGGAGGGGCAGAGAGAAAGAAGCTGCAGAGTTCTGTGACCCTGAAAACCTTACTCCCACACCAGGCTTCAGTGTACTTGTCTCCCTGACACCAGTCAGAATTCCCATTCTGTCTACCTTCATCTAACTGCAACTATTCAGTTTTGACTATGGCTTAAAACTTAATTTAGTGCAAATAATCCATATTAAAATTCTTTCTTGGAGAGTGGCCAAGATGGCAGAATAAAAACACTCTGAGCTCACCTCTTCTCACACCAAAATCACAACTATTTGCAGAACCATTGTTAAAAAATACTGGAACCTACCAGAAAAGATCTTCTACAGCCAAAGACATAAAGAAGGAACCACAACGAGACCAGAAGAAGGGGAAGACTCATAATCAAACCCCATATCTCCAGATGGGTGACCCACAAACTGGAGAATAATTATATTGCAGAAGTTCTACCATAGGAGTGAGAGTTCTGAGTCCCACGTCAGGCTCCCCAGCCCAGCACTGGCAAGACGAGCCCCCAGAGCATTTGGTTTTGAAGACCAGTGGGGCTTACTTAAAATAGAGACTTCACTCTTAAAGGGAGTGAAAAAAGCTCCCTTTTTTTTTTTCACACAAAAGTTCATGTGCACCAGCACATAGGGAAAAAAATATAATTTGACAGGAGCCTGGGCCAGACCTTCCTGCTGGTTTTGGAGTGTCTCCTGGAGAGGTGAGGCATGGATGAAGCTCACCCTGGGGACACAGACACTGGTGGCAAACATACTGGGGAACACTGTTGACGGCTGACATCTTGGCTCTTTAGTTCCAAGACCTGGCCCTATCCAACAGCCTCTAGGCAGCACTGCTGGGACACTTTAGGCCAAACAACTAACTGGGTGGGGACACAGTGCCAACAATCAGCAGACAGGCTGCCTAAAGACTAAAGAGCCCATAGCTACCTCTGGGCTTGCCCCTAGACATGGCCCAGCCCACCAGAGGGCCAAGATGGAGCTGTACCCACCAGTGGACAGGCACGAGCCCCTCCCACCAGGAAGCCAGACCAAGCCTCTAGACCAACCTCATCCACAAGGGGGCAGACGCCAGAAGCAAGAAAACTACGACCCCTCGATACAGGGCAGACCCTACCCTGGGATCAGCTGGGCCCTGGCCTGGCCCACTAGCAGGCCAATGCAACCTTCAGGACACCCCAGAACCCATACCCAACTGTGTCAGGAACCAACATCCCCCCCCACAAAACAACCTGAAATGAGCTCTGGGATCCCTGGGCTGCAGCCAGACTCCAGGAACAAGCTCTGCTTGCTAGTAGACTGGCACTAACCCAGGATCTGGCTTCACCTGCCAGTGGGAGGGCAACAGCCCCAGAGTCTTCAGGACTCTGACTCCACCCACCAGGAAGCCAGCACTAGCCCTGGGGGTGATGTAGGATTGTGCAACCAGCCACCTCATGACCAGGCCCTGCTAAACAGCAGCCAGTAGCATCCACACAAAGGAGGTTCTGGCAACCAACCAGACTAGGGGCCTATCAGACCATCCACACAGTTAGCCCACCACAACAGAAGGACCCACATAGCCCTCTTCGAGTGAACCCTTAGAGCACACAGCTTGGGTGACGGGAGTGCGGAACTGCTGGGATGCATAGGACGCTTCTACAGAGGGCCGCTTCTCCAAGGTCAAGAAAAGTAACTAACCTACCACATACATAAAAATACAAATAGCAACTGAGACAAAACGAGAAATATGTTTCAGACGAAAGAAC